CGATGGAGTGACATCCCATTCAGGGTGTACTCCAGCCTCGTGCCCTGCGATGGAGTGACATCCCATTCAGGGTGTACCCCAGCCTCGTGCCCTGTGATGGACTGGCATCCCATCCAGGGTGTACCCCAGCCCCGTGCCCTGTGATGGACTGGCGTCACACCCAGGGTGTACCCCACCCTCGTGCCCTGTGATGGACTGGCATCCTGTCCAGGGTGTACACCAGCCTTGTGCCCTGTGATGGACTGGCATCCCTTCCAGGGTGTACCCCAGCCCCGTGCCCTGTGATGGACTGGCATCCCGTCCAGGGTGTACCCCAGCCCCGTGCCCTGTGATGGACTGGCATCCCGTCCAGGGTGTACCCCAGCCTCGTGCCCTGTGATAAGCTGGCGTCACCCCTGTACGTGCTCTATGCCAGTGTATCTCAGCCCAGTCCTGGGAGACCCCCAGACAGTCCACATATTTGTTCCCTCAATCAAGAACACCGAATACCTGGTACAGGTATGTTGGGAGCTGCGAGGGAACAAAAAAGTGGACTTTCCAGGGATCCACGAGGACTGGGCTGAGACACATTGCTCTGAGACGCCTGGGCTCACAGACACGCGGCTCCTACCCTGTTCTAGAAGCAGTCAGGACAGGTTCTTACCTCCTGGACAAACGGGCTCTGGGCGTCTCTCTTTGCGTTTTCTGGCACTGAGGGGCGAAGTGTCCTCCCCTGACGTTTGATCGTCGATATCTGGAAGGAGAAGCGTTGGAGTCAGCGCTGCGGTCTGTGCCTTGCACAGCTGTGGCCATAAGGCTTTAGATTGCCCCCCTCATCATATGACCTTCATCCAAGTCACTAAAACATCATATCTGTGATTACAACTGCGGCCAACAAATAGAGTCCTTTGTTACAGCTTATTTATTTATCAATAAATTAACAAACATAATGATAAATATTTTGCGGCAGTTTTCTACCAACAGAATGGCAGGGGGTGGGTCAATCAATCCTCCCAACTTCACCAGCATTTTTATTTTGCGTGTAACGAGCGTCGATGAGCACAAAACCTGTGACAACCTCAGCCAAGAGTGGATTTCCGGGAACAGCATTCAGACAGAGGGAGAATGAAAAACACAAATGAAAAACGACTCTGGGGGCTTAACGGTCGTGCTCTCGGCACATCACGATATCTTTCCATTCCTGAATGAAAAATCAGAGCCCTGTGGAGTCACAGCTGGGGTGGGTGGGGTGCTGCACCCAGAGGGTCACCGACACACCCTGCAGCTGGTGGACCAGACCTACAGTAAGCAATGGGGAACTGGAGGAACCTGGGCGGGGTCTGCTACAGCCCAGACCGGTCATCCAATCGCTCACTACGTGTCGGGCGGAGTGAAGGACCTTATACTCACACAGATCTATATAATTATATACATACATCATTCTATCCATTTTCCATAACCATTATATAAGGGTCACAGCTGAAGTATAGGACACAAGGCAGGAGACCAGCCCAAGTGCTCCTGTAAGGATTATCACCCAAAGCTTTCCTCATTATACCCAACAGCTGCCAGATGATGCACACAGCACAACCTTGCCAGCCTTCACCTCCTGTCTGTTCAGCCTCCTTCACACCCTGAATGTTACCGACCTGGACTCCCAGAGGGAAGATGGCCGCTCTGCTTCTGAGTGCAGGGAGGAGCGAAAATTAAAAAAGCCAAAACAAATGCCACTCTAAACAATGCTCAGTGAGGGCTGCTTTGGAAACAAGCACCTGCAAAGTAATTAAATATCAGAGATGCCACAGCGTGACTCTGCTATCTGTTTATTTTATCTGTGAGCACTGCGCCGTTGGACCGAGATACGCTACGTCATTACAGAACAGAAACAGGTGGTCACATGTAACATGTTATGTGATTTTCTCTGTCTGTTACTTTGATGCGCCCTGGTTCGTCTCCCGCCCGGACACGCCCGGGCCCAGCTTCGTCTCCCGCCCGGACACGCCCGGGCCCTGGTTCGTCTCCCGCCCGGACAAGCCCGGGCCCTGGTTCGTCTCCCGCCCGGACACGCCCGGGCCCAGCTTCGTCTCCCGCCCGGACACGCCCGGGCCCAGCTTCGTCTCCCGCCCGGACAGTCTGGGGTCCGGGAGCCCAAATGGTGAACCCCCCCCCCATCTGATTGACCATTTTCCGTTTCTGCTAGAGGGGACAAACATGTGCTGGGGCTTGGGTGGTGGGGGCTGGGTAGAAGGCGAGGGAACGTCTGCTTAGGGTTTATAAGAAACCAAGCAAGTGCAGGGATGGATGAGGGATCTCCTCAATTCTGCCTTACAGTCAGAAGGTCTGGGCACCGTTCTAGAATATTCCATGAGGATCCAATGGGCAAAGTCAGAAGAGAAATCCATTAATCAAGGCTGAGGATGGAGATGCACACAGCCAGCTTGGTCTTGCGTACTGCTCCATTGTTCATATAGACATAGTGTGCAAGAAAGTGATTGGAATGGGCTGCTAACGACTGAGCTTCCTGGTCGCTTCTTTCGGCATTGAAGATTAGAAAGGGAAAAATACCCCAGCTGTGTTTATGGGGTTGTGGTTCCCCGTAATGACTGAGGTGACACATCACAGCCATAGCAGAGCCAGAGCTGAAGCAGCCAGGTGGGACTCTCTCACAACAACATTCCCCAAAGTGGGCGGGTGAAGGGCAGGCACCTCTCAGGGGGTCAATTTAACAGGAAGGGGTCTGTTATTAACCACGCGTCCGGCACCAGGCCCCCCGCCTCAAGTCTCATTCAGGAATGCGAGTCCTCCTTCTGTGTAGGAGGCCATTGTTCTCGCCCCACCCAGCCTAACTGCGGCAAACACAGCCGCGGCTCACCAGCAGCCCAATCGCCGAGGCTCGCCTTCCTCTCGGCCTGGCCTGGCTTCCCGAGGTGAGATGACAATCAGGCTAATGACAGGAAAGGAGACAAAGGTGCAGAGGGGCCAGCTGGACTGGCAGGGGGTGTGGGGGTCAGAGGCAGGATGTAAGCTGGGGACATGTGGCGAGAGTCACGCTCAGATCGACGGCAGGGGAGACACGGGGACATTCCCCTCCTTCACATAATGAATCCTAGGCTCTACAGAATTCCGGGCACCCAAGCAAGCCGCAGAGGAGCTCTTCTTCCTGGCAAAGATGGCCGGGGCTTGCTGTACCCTTGGCGAAAGCACAATACTTGGAACAGTAGTTTTTTGCTTCAGAAAATTTCCCAGAAATCAGTAGATAAGTCAGTCACGCCTGGATAAGGGTGACATCCTGTACAAATAACAGCTCATTTTGTCAGAAATGAATCTGCGAAGGTCCATCTCAACAGGGAGATGATGAGTTTTGCAGTCATTCCCTTTAAAGGAAAGTCTGGCACACTTCTGAATGTCTCATCTGTATCAGATTAACGATCCCTGTAGAAATGATAATTGTGTTTTAACATTTATATCTGTGCTGTCACATCAGTGCTGTTACAGTGATGTGGACGGACACTTAAAAACATTTATATCTGTGCTGTCACATCAGTGCTGTTACAGTGATGTGGACGGACACTTAAAAACATTTATATTTGTGCTCTAACATAAGTGCTGTTACAGTGCTGTGGAGAGACATTTAAAAACATTTATATCTGTGCTCTCACTTTAATGCCGTTACAGTGATGTGGACGGAAACCTAAAAACATTTATATCTGTGCTGTCACATCAGTGCTGTTACACTGGTTATCAACAGTGGAAAATTTGGCTCAATAACAAGCAGCACAATAAGGGATTAAAGAGCAATAAATTCAATGCCACAGTTTAGGTATGAAGACGATCTAAATATTTCCCTTCTGCAGGATGCGTTTAAAAGGACTCAACGGCGACTCCTTTGTAAGGCTGCGCCCGCCATCTCCCCCCTCTTCACCCCCCCATGGGGCAGCCTAAATCCAAACAGAAAGCAGACCTGAACAGGCTGATTAAACACCACACAGTCCACTGGACTTTCCTCCATAAACGCAATGTTTCCATGCCAGGAAGACAAAAAGAAAGCTTTCTGCCAGAGAGAAAGTAAATTACAAAATGGAACCCGGAAGGATGATTGTGCTGCTTTGGAAAAGGCAATCTCAACATCAGACCACTTGTCTTTTTAGATATCTTCCCATAAGGCATTGGTGCCTTCCCATGATGCAGTGCTGCAGCAGTCTCTAAGCCTGAATCCTGACTTCCCTTTCACCTCGTACATTTGCAGACTTCTCAATAAAAGATTCCAGTACCTAAGTTTCCAGGAGCTCCAGTCCTGAGGCTGTCTGACCACAGTCATCTAAACCAGATGACAGTAGAGCAAACATCAGCTTGTGGTCTTGCTTTTTGGTCCCTACCAATTGGTTTATGAAAGCTGAAGAACCTACATCATGTGTCAGGGGATCCCTGCAGGCGTGGTCAGGTGAGTTTTATTATTATGGTGTCCTGGGAAATCTTCACTGAAGTAAAACCAGACCTGCTGCTTTGACCCACACATCCCTGATTCTTCACTTTAAGAATCAACCTTCCCTCCAGGCCAGTGTGCGGCCAGCGCGCGGCTCCCTCCAGGCCAGTGTGCGGCCAGCGCGCGGCTCCCTCCAGGCCAGTGTGCGGCCAGCGCGCGGCTCCCTCCAGGCCAGT